TCTGGAGATTTCCCTTTGGGTGGTTCTGTTGGGAGAGGAGCCTCTGGGATCGTCCCGTTGGGCACAAGATGTTCTGGAGATTTCCCTTTGGGTGGTTCTGTTGGGAGAGGAGCCTCTGGGATCGTCCCGTTGGGCACAGGAGATTTCCCTTTGGGTGGTTCTGTTGGGAGAGGAGCCTCTGGGATCGTCCTGTTGGGCACAAGATGTTCTGGAGATTTCCCTTTGGGTGGTTCTGTTGGGAGAGGAGCCTCTGGGATCGTCCCGTTGGGCACAAGATGTTCTGGAGATTTCCTTTTGGGTGGTTCTGTTGGGAGAGGAGCCTCTGGGATTGTTCTGTTGGGCACAAGATGTTCTGGAGATTTCCCTTTGGGTGGTTCTGTTGGGAGAGGAGCCTCTGGGATTGTTCTGTTGGGCACAAGATGTTCTGGAGATTTCCTTTTGGGTGGTTCTGTTGGGAGAGGAGGCTCTGGGATTGTCCCATTGGGTACAGGATGTTTTGGGGTTTTCTCGTTGGGGAGTGCAAGTAGGAAAAGAAGTTTGAGGGTTGTCCTGCTGGGTAGAAGAGGTTCTGTGGTTGTCTTTTTGGGTGGCTCTGGGGGAAGAGGAAAGTTGAGGATTATTTTGTTGGGTGGAAGAGGTTCTGGGGTTATCCTGTTGGGTGATTCTTGAGGGAGAGAAAGCTCTGGGAGTGTTTCGCTGTGTGGATGAGGCCCCAGGGGTGCCCTGTTGGGTGGATGAAGTCCTGGGGTTTTCCCTTTGGGTGTCTCGGGAGGGAGAGAAAGCTCGGGGAGTATCACGTTGTGTAGAAGCATCCTGGACAATATCTCTTTGGGTAGAGGAAGCCTGTGGGGTGGCACTTCGAGGTCCACTCTGTGGTGTTGCAGAGGAAGCCCGGGTTAGTGCTGACCGGTGCCGATCCAAGAAGTACCCACTCTCTCCCCGGAGCTTTGCCCAGTGTTGTCCAGAGCTCCGGCTCCCACCGCCAGTGTCTGGAGAGAGAAGGTTTGAGGTAAGGGGAGGGGTCCAGGCAGTTCTCTTATCCTACCTTTTTTGGTCCCCTTTGACCAATGATTAAGGCAGACCTCAGACTCCACAGCCTCTTCTTAGAGGTCTCACTGTCCATACCAAGTGACTCCACCCCTCTGACCAAGGCTGATTAGACAAGGGCTTGGATGCCTCTCTCAAGCTGAGGTCAGGAATTTGAAATTGAGACCCAGGCTGACTCAGTCCATAGCTGAAAGGTCACAGTCTGTAGGTCCACAAACAAATCAGAGAAAAGGCAACCTCATAGATGGCAGTTTTGACAATAGCCCATGTGATCCCAGAGTGGGAGAGGAAGACCCAGCAGCAACTACCTAAGGACTTTCTATTCTCAGTTCTACTTCCTGCAGCTGGATTCCGAGAAACTCTCCAGACTTCTTCTAATGAGCCTCTTTCATGTCCGATAGCTCTAGAAAGGTCCTGTTCCTTGTACCTAAATGCTCCCACCCCTGAGGCTCCTCCCAGGGCTTCCATGAGGGTGGGATGAGCACAGGGATGGATAACCTTTTAGGAACTGGCAGGTGGGAGTGTGCGAGAAATGCAGAATCTCAGGTCCCATCTTGGATGCACTGATTCAGAATCTGTATTTTAACAAGACTTGTATGCACCTCAGTTTCAGAAGCGCTGGTCTATGGGGTTAATGTAACTGCCCTCAATAGTGACCCCTTCACAACTCCCAGCTCCACGATGGGGTTGACCTTGTTGTCACCCTCCACCCCCCTCAACCCTTTGGTCACTGAGCAGGTGTTAACCACCAGCTGTGCAGCATGTCACTGGGCTGACGCTTCAGGAGACAAGTAAAGGGACTGTGGCCTCATCTTGAAGGAGCCATGACTGTCTTCATGAAAGGCCATGCTTAAAAACTTCTCCTCTAGGGCCGGCCCGTGGCTCACTTGGGAGAGTGCGGTGCTATAACACCAAGGCCATGGGTTCGGATCCCTATATAGGGATGGCCGGTTTGCTCACTTGGGAGAGCGTGGTGCTGACAACACCAAATTAAGGGTTAAGATCCCCTTACTGTCATCTTTTGAAAAAAACAAAAAACAAAAAAAACCCTTCTCCCCCTTTGCAGCCTCTGTACCCTCTGATATCTCTGAGTAGGATGCTGAAGTCTGAATCTTCCAGCTCCCAGCAGGGAACCAAGAACATGGCAGCACTCAAAATGTGTGTCGTTGTCTGATGGGCTGATGCCCTATGAGCTTCCTAAAATGCATTACAAATCCACCTGCTTCTCTCATCTCCACCTAGATCCCCACCCTAAGCCACCATCATCTTTCTCCTGATGGTCGAGTTGCCCCTGATATGCGCGCCCTGGCCTCAGTGTCATCATTCCATCCAGGGAGATCTTTTCCAAAGGCAAAGTGATCAGATCACCCTGCTCACACCCTTCAGGAGAAGACAGGAGAGACTGGAAAGCTGTCACTGATTGGACCAGACAGATGAGACAAGGTGACTAAACGCAAAATGGGATCCCAGATTGGATCCTGGACAGAAAAAGGATATTTGTAGAAAAACTGGTGAATCCAAATAAAGTCCCTGTAGATAGTTGATAGTATTGTACCTATGTTAATTTCTTAATTTTGATCATTGTACTGTGCTTATATGTGATGCTAACATTAGAGGAACCTGGCTAAGGGGTACAATGAATGGAAATTGTACAATCTTTGTGACTCTTCTATAAATGTTTAGATTATTTCAGAATAAAAAGTTAAAAAACAAACAAACAAAACCTCACAACTCCTGGGGCTCCCAACTGCACTTGGAATAAAATCCAGGATATCCCAGGGCCAGCAATGCTCTGCAGGGTCCGGCCCCTGCCCCTGCCTGCCGGGCCTCCCGCGACCCTTCTCCATGCTCTGCACTCCAGCACCCTCTCTCCTGTCAGTTCCTCGAATAGGCCACAAATGCTTTCCCTCCCCAGGGCCTTTGTTCTCACTGCTGCTTCTGTCTGACGTACTCTTCCTTCTATTTTTTGATTTTTTAAAAAATTATCACTGTTCGCTCACTCTTCCCTCTTCGCCTGGCTGGCTTCTCATGCCCAGGGCATTTCCCTCACATCTAGCTCTCTTGTTTACTTGATTAACTGCTCTCTCCCCTGTGAGCTCCGTCTGGGCAGGGGCCTGTTTTCCATCTCATCTCCACGACGTGGAGAAGTTCTTGGCATACTGCAGGCACTTGGTACATATGGTCGCCCTCCAGCTCTGTGTTCTGCCTCAGCCTGGAGTCTCCCACCCTTTCAGCATGCGTGCTGGCTGAGATGGCATTTGCCACCAGTCCTGGGGGCTGGCAGCTGGCTCTGTGTCCCCAGTTCCAGACCCTTCCCTTTGCCACCTCTCGGACGTAGCTCCAAGCCTGGCCTACCCAGGATCTGACTTCACTCCTGCAGCCCTTTAGTGGGCACGCAGGGCAGCTCCACAGATGTCTTTGGTCACTGTGTGTCCCATCCCTCAGCCAGTCAGGCACTGTGCAGCCCACCCCGCATGCTTTGCAAATTGGGAGCTGCCTGAGAGAGAGGGGTCAAGGAGTCTCCAGTGTCAAAGCTGGCTAATTCCTCCTAGGCCTTGGCCCCCTGCCTGCAGTTTAGAGACCTACCACCAGGTGGACAGTGCCTCTGATTAAGTAGGTCACATAGGGAGGCTCCCCCATTCCACTGCCAAGCGTGCTTAAGAACAAGAAGGCAGAAACAGTATAAATCCCACCTGGCATGTCAGACCATTCGCACCCCGGGGAGGAATTTGGTTCTGTTGCGTTAATACTTCTTCCCACACACCCTCTTCCCGGGGCCTGATGCGGACAGGGGATGGGGTGGTGGTGACAAGATCTGATTAAAGGCTTGAAAAGATGGCTGAGGCTGCTTAGGGGAGAATGGACTAAAGGGGGCCAGGGCAGAGACGGGAAGCCTTGAGGAGGTTCTGCCAAGAATCCTGGTGTAAAGGTGGCTTGGTCAGGAGTCCTCATGAAGCTGGCAAGAAGGGGACAGATTTGGGGTGTGTTCTGGAGCAGGCACTGACAGGAACTGCCTATGATTTGGATATAAAAAGTGAGGAAAGGGGCCGGCCTGGTGGCGCACTGCTACAGTGCGCTGCTTGGGAGCGCGGTGGCGCCTCCCGCCGAGGGTTCGGATCCCACATACAGACCGGTTCCCGCTCACTGGCTGAGCGAGGTGCGGGCGCAGCGCCGAGGGTTGCGATCCCGTTGCCGGTCCCGGTCCGGTACGGGCGCGACACTGAGGGTTGCGATCCGTTGCCGGACATGAAAAAAGACAAAAAGGAAAAAAAAAAAAGTGAGGAAAGAGAAATCAGGATAACTTCAAATTGGGGGCAATCAAAACAGGATAAGAGTGAGGACCAAGTTGCCACCCGTGCCAGCCTCCTCTCCGTGTCTTTCTCGGGCCCCGCCTGCTCCAGACACCCACCTTCCTTCTGCCCCTCGAACCGACCACCTCTGTCCATGCCTTAAGGCCTCTGCACTGCAGACTCCTCTGGTCATTCAGATCTCAGCGTCCCCAGAGAGGCCCTCCCTGTCCACCAGTCACGGGATCTCACAGCCCCCTGTTGTAATTCTTCAAATATCAGTTACCACTCTCTGATTTCTTTCTTTTTTTTTTTGGCGGCGGACCGGTAAGGGGATCCGAACCCTTGACCTTGGTGTTATAACACCACGCTCTAACCAACTGAGCTAACCGGCCAGCCCATCTGATCTATTTTTTATTTGTTTTTCTTTCTGCCTTCCCTCTACCCAGCTGTCAGCTCCATAAGGGTGGGACCTTGTCTGTCTTGCTCATTGCTGTTTCTCCAGCACTGGTCAGAGCCTGGCACACAGTAGGTGCTCAACAGATACTTATTTAATGAGTGAAACAAAGGGTACTGTGTTGAGTTTGAGGTGCTATCATACACCCCAGAGGAGAGATTGTCTAGATGAACTAGAGTTCAGGGGAGAAATCGAGGCCAGTGGTGTGGACTCAGTCTTCATCGGCTTCTTCCAGGAAGTACTGAAAGCCAAGTGGCTAGTGTGCAGGGAGAGAATAGTGGGGACCCAGGGGGCATCCGATATGTAAGAGCCAAGCAGGGGAGGAGGCATCAGCAAAAGAGCAAGAAGGAGCGGCTAGTGAGGAAGGAGGAGGAACCAGGAGAGAGGGTCGGAGCCCAGAGCGGGCATGCGCAAGGCACTCATTTAGCACATCCAGAAAAGCGGGGTGGCACCGTGGCTGTGGCTGTGGCTGCTGCTCTCATTACTTTCTCACCTGCTCAGCCACGATCACCTTGTGGGTAATAAATAAATGTGCGCTGAGCGCCTGAGTGAACATCGCCTCCATGCTGCAGACGCCACGTCTCCATCCCTGTCCTCACCCTTCGCTGGGCGTCTACAGCCTCGAAACGCCCCTTTCTCAGGACTCTGAAATCTAGCACGGCCAGCACTGCGTGTGCCCCCTCCCCAGTCCTCCACTCTCAGTGGAGGGACTGCCATCCCTGCAGACACCCAAGCCAGGAGCTGGAAATGTGTTTCCTCCTGTCCCAGGTCCCATCCAGTCCACCTCCTAAATCTCTCTCCGCCTCTGTCCCCTCTTCACCCTACAACCACGGCTCTAATTCAGGTCTTGCCATCTCTCACCCAGATGACTGCAATGGGCTACAGAACGGTGGCAGGAACAGTATGGCAATCACGGTAGCGCTATCCTGCCCCAGAGTCACCAGTTGTTAACCGTTTGTCTCCTCTTATTTGCTCTGTCTCTCTCACTATCTGTCATCTATCAATATACCTACCTACCTACCTACCTATCCATCCATCTACCTTTCTATCACCTCTCTCTCCCTCTCTCCCTATCTAGATACTGATATTCTCTCTAGCTTGTTGAACCACATGAGAGTTAGTTGAAGCTCCTATGACACCTCACCCTTGACCCTTCCATACGCATCTCCTAAGAACAAGGACATTCTCCTTCCTAACC